TGCTTTCTGAGCCTCCCGGGATTTGCTTTTGTTCTGTTCAGACCCAAGAACCCCAGTTTGTCCAAGAGATCCAGAGTTTGAGCAGTGATTTATCTTCCAAACTTCAAATAGTCCTTCTCAGGAATTGACTTTGTGACTCTCCTGTCTGTCTTCCAGTGTAGGAAGCAAGTAGTGGGGAGAAAAGGGCCTTTGAGCCCTAGCTGATCCCAGTGCCAGATCAAAGAGGGGAAGGCGCAATGAGAGCAAGCACAAGCCCCCCTCCTTTCAAGCAGGCTGGAAATGCTCTCAGGCGGAAGTGGACACAAACTGGATGGGGCATGGAGTGATGGCAAGCCTTACCACTTTTGCCTACTCAGTGAGCTTTTCTTGTTAGGCCCTAATCATCTCAAGGTCAGCAGTTCAAACCCACCTGCTGCTCCATGGGAGAAAGATGAAGCTTTCTGCTCCTGTAAAGATTCACAGTTCCACTCTGCTCTATCGGACCCCGATGAGTTAAAATCGCTTCAGTGGTGGTGAGAAGTGGTTGCCTGAAAAAGTAGGGAAGTTGGATGCTAGGTGGGTTGCCCTATGCAGGGATGTTTTTAAAACAAGGTATAGCCTAAGAAGCGTCCTCAGGAACTAGTATTTCATTTCTCTGGCTGGTTGTCATGAGCTTGAGGGGAAGAGAAAGGGACTCTGTGTTCCTGGCATGACTTCGGGGCTCGGCTAGGAATGCAGTTTGGGGGCAGGTTGGACCTTCAGAAATCTGTGGGATTAACAGCCGACTGTCCCTCCCCTGCTTCTTCTCACACCTAGCCCTTTGAGAAGGGTGTGCCTGGACAGTGCTTATTAACCCCGACACCCCAGCCTTTCTTTTTAATCATTTTATTGGGGGCTCGTACAATTCTTATCACAATCCATCCATTGTGTCACACACATTTGTACATTTGTTGCCATCATTTTCAAAACATTTTCTTTCTGCTTGAGCCCTTGGAATCAGCTCCTCATTCTTTTCTCCTCCCTCTCCCACCCTCCCTCCATCATGAACCCTTGATTTCTAAATTATTATTATTTTTTCATGTCTTAACACTGACTAATGTCTCCCTTCACCCACTTTTCTGTTGTCCGTCCCCCAGGGAGGGGGTTATATGTAGATCATTGTGATCGGTTCCCCTTTTCTCCCCCAACCTTCCCCTTATCATCCTAGTATTGCCCCTAGGATTTCTTTAGGGTGAGGGTCTCTAGGGTGGATGTTGGGACTGAGGGTGGCCTTGGGACCAGGAAAGTCCTAGAAAAAGCTGGATGGTTGGTCAGCCTATGGCTCTAATTCAGGGCATTGTAGCTGATGTTGATCAGAGGGGTGTCACGGAGGTCATTTGGGGCCTTGGAACACAGCTCTTCATTCCTGGTATGTACCCAACAAGAATGGTTAATGGGTCTCCACTTAGGCTAGCTGGCACAGACTAATCTGGCCTGGACTCTGCTGGTGCAGGCGGAACAAGCACACAGGTTAATTGACTTTCCCAGTTTATGACTGCTGAGTGGGGAATGTGGCTGCCAGTGGGGCTGGAGCTCACGCGGAGAGACCTGGGGTCTGCCGGGGTCTGCCGGGGTCTGCCGGGGTCTGCCGCTGGTCGTTTGTGATCTAAATGGCTCGGGAGAGGGTGCTTCTCTCTCTCTCAGGAATGAAGCAGTGGTTTAAAAACTACAAAGGACATGCTGCTAATTTACTGCTGCTCTGCTGGGGACATGGATGAGTGGAAGAGGGGGTGGAGGGAAGGAAGAGGAACGAGTTTTCTAGAGCTCAGATGTGGGCAAGGCAAAGGTTAAGCTTAGAGGTAAGAAAAGTTAAATAGAGGTTTAGCCACAGACTGGGACCTGGGATAGTAGAGACTTTGGGTTCTGGGTGTTGGATGCTAAGGGTGTTGGCTAGTGAGGAGTAACCAGCCATCCCAGTGCTGGGGGAAAATGCTCAGTCTTGCCCAACTTGGGGTGGTTGGTGATTCTATTGGAGGGACCAGGCCCAAGGATGGGCAGTGAATAGAGTTGGGGGCTTGAGCATAGAGGTGATGAGAGCCAGAGCAGAGACCTCCTTGCTGTTGGGGGATAAGTTCAGGGTCTGGAATATAAATCACCTAACCCCCCCCACCCCCCAAAAAAACAAACAAAAAACCAAAACAAACAAACCCACCAACAAAGGAACAAATAATGCATCTGTCTCCTATGTCTTCCTGAGCCCTTGTGCATGGGCACAGTTGGCGTCTGGCTGGTGGAGTCTCTCTCTCTGAGCCAGGGAAGCAGCGGAGAGCAAAGGTCCCAGGCGTGGGGATGGTTTTGAGGTGAAATGGTTTGGGGATTCTGGGGCCCCAACTGCAGCAGGCTCCAATCAATCCTTTGTGCTCTGGGGTTTTGTTTCCTCGGAGTCATTTAAGAAAACCACGTTCAGACTCTCTGCCATTTCTATGGGGGGGGTGTGTGTGCGGGGGTGGGAATTTGGAGTGGAGAGAGAGACTCTGGCCTTCTTGCCAGTTTTGTTGGTCCAGAGGGCAATCTTCAACAGCCGTGGAAGGTCTCACAGGGAAACTTGCTTCCCAAGCACCCCAGCTAGCCTGCTCACACCGGTCTTCCCTGGCACTTCGGAAAACCACATGCACAGGCACCTGAGCAAGAACTATTTCTGTCTTCTAGAGTGCAGTCTAAAGACTCATTTGTCCTGTGTCCTGTGACCTTTTAAAGAAAACTCAGCTCTCCTTTCTCTGAGAATGCTTGTGCCCAAAGATAGGCTTTTTTAAAAAAGTCATTTTATTAGGGGCTCGTACATCTCATCACAATCCATACATACATCAGTTGTGTAAAGCACATTTGTACATTTGTTGCCCTCATCATTCTCAAAACATTTGCTCTCCACCTAAGCCCCTGGCATCAGGTCCTCATTTTTCCCCTCCGTCCTCGCTCCCCCTCCCTCATGAACCCTTGATAATTTATAAATCAAAGATAAGCTTTTTATACAGATTTGTCTGCGAGAATAAAGTGTGAGAGCCTGCTCCAGTGGACTGTGAGCTCCCCTGCGGAGGGAGGGGATCTGGCTTATGTTGCTACCCACCAATCCCAGACCCGAGACAGGTGCCTGGAACACAGATGTGGACTGAGCCTTGAACAATTCATCTTTCAGAGCAAAGGGTGCATGCGGAAGACAAAGGTTCTCAAAGCATGTGAGCAGCTTTATAAAATCTCCGTGCTCAGGCCACAGCCCACACTTAGAGTCTCGGAGGACCTGGAATCCAGCCTTCAACTTGTGAAAAACAAAACAAAATTCCCCAGGTGATTCCAACGTGCAGCCAAGTTGGAGAACCAGTGCCGTAGAATCTCGTGTTTGCAGCTGAGCAGTTAAAATCCTCACCTAGAACTCTGCTGGTTAGAAATGTAGTATCTCAGGCCCCGTCGTGGACCAATTACTGAATCAAGAATCTTACTTAGGGCCCCAGGAGCTTCATAGGCACAGTCAAGACTGAGAGGCATTGCTGAAGGCTGTCGGGATCCAGATAAGCCCCTTGTGTTTGCTTAACTGACTGAGGTATTGGCTGCTTTGAATGTTTTGTTGATACCACGTGTTTTTAGTAATTGTGTTAGTCTGGGTAGACTAGAGAAACAAATTCATAGACACCCATATGTGTATAAGAAAGAGCTTTATATACAAGAGCAATCGCATATTGAGAAAACATCCCAGCCAGTCCAGATCAAGTCCATAAATCCGTTATTAGCCCATGTGCCCCATACCAATCTATAAAGTCTTTTTCAGACTCACGAAACACATACAATGATGGCGAATGCAGGAAGATCACAGACCAGTGGGTAGAAGTGATAGTGGAAGCATCTCAGCATTGGCAGGGGTCTCCACGTGGTTCCTTCAGCTCTCAGTCTCTAGCGTAGCTCCATGTGTCTTCTCAACAGGAATGTCACGCAGGGAGTCTGTGTATTTCCTGCCTCCAGCGGGCTGTTCATCTCCTTAGCACCTCCAAATGAGGTCCTCAAGCTGCAACCTGATTGACAGGCTAAACTCCACCCCTTCGCTCTTGTCTCAAATTGACAACAGATTATATAACTACCACAGCAATGGACCAAACTAAGCCCAAGCCCACTGCCATTGAATCCATTCTGACTCATAATGACAGTACATAGGGCTTCAGAGACTGTAAACCAGTGGTTCACAATCTTCCTAACGCCACGACCCTTTCATACAGTGCCTCATGGTGTGGTGAGCCCCCCCAACCATAAAATTATTTTCGTTGATACTTCATAACTGTAATTTTGCTACTGTTATGAATTGTAAATATCTGATATGCATGATGTATTTTCATTGTTATAAATTAAACATAAAGCATAGTGATTAATCACAAAATAATATGTAATTATATATTTATAATTATATATTTATGTGTTTTCCAATGGTCTTAGGCAACCGCTGTGAAAGGGTCCTTCGACCCCCAAAGGGGTCGCAACCCACAGGTTGAGAACCACTGCTGTAAATGTTTAGGGAATATATAGCCTCACTTTTCTCCCACTGAGTGGCAAGTAGGTTTGAACTGCTGATCTTGTGGTTAGCAACCCAGCACTTGCCTGACAGCACCAACAGAGCTCCATGCTGAAGTCGAGGAAACACTTTTCCTGAGGTAATATGGATTTTGATGTAACGATGTGGGACACATATGTCCCAAATGGACTCCAGTGGCGGGCTGAGGCCCATTTCTTCAGATCCACTTAGTTTTACGTCCCCATCATTTATCAGCATGTTCTACAACTGGGACAACAGCTTCCCAAGAAACCCGAGAGGCTGAAAATGGTGGCTGATTCATGTTTCTGTGTTACAAAAGGTTTAAGGTCCAAGAACTGGTAGATGGAATGCAGGCTGGGAAGTAGGCCAGGGCTACCTGGAAAGCCTGGGGGATGATCAGATTGGAACAGTGCTTTCTGGCGATGAAGGCCTGCCTGCAGGGGTCTCTGATTGTCAATGCCTTCTCCAGGTGCTGCTCCCAGCAGCCAGCTTGCTGCAACTCATGGATGTTCGGCAGAACTGCTGCGACTTCCTGCAGTCTCAGTTGCATCCCACCAACTGCCTGGGCATTCGAGCGTTTGCAGATGTGCACACCTGCACCGACCTTCTGCAGCAGGCCAACGCCTATGCAGGTAACGAGAGCGGGGCTGCTGCATCTCCTCCTCACCAGGTCTGCGGTGGACTCCTCAAAGACTCCGCGACCAGAATGCAGGTCTAGCTAGGGAGACCAGGTGGAAGGCTTATGAACAGTAGAAATTATTAGCGCATTTCCAAGTGGAATCTGATTCATGGCCGGATGGATGGTACAGACAGCCATTTCACAGGAGTCGACGAAGAGCTCTGAGAAGCGGGGGTTGGGGGGCAGGGTAGGTGTTGGGGGGGTTGGGAGAAAAATTTCAGTTATGTCTTGAAATTAATATTTTTATTGTTTCTTAAGAACAGTTTAATTTTGATCAAAGTGTGTGAACATAATTTTTTTAAAAAAGTCAAATTCTGTGAATCTGATAATGAGAAGCAAGTCTCCTACCCGACTGCATCCCACCAAGTTTTGCTCTCCCAAACCAATCACTTCCAAATTCTAAAAGGATTCACATGCAGGTTCTGGTTCAGCCAAATTAACTTCTCTGCTGTGCACCTTCGTAGATCTCAGTCGTATGCTTATCCTGCTGTGTTTCATGTGTTAACTTGAGATATTACCTTTTGAATTGTAATGCAGGGCAGGATTGCAATTCATAGACTTTTCCCTCCTCATATAAGCTTTCTGTTTATTCTCCTAGTATTTCTACAACTGAGCTAAGTCTTGTATTGTGATTAAAGACTTTTATCATCAGCAAACACTTTTTAAAAAATTAAATCAGAAAGTAAGTTAATGATTGCCCTGTCATTTGCACAGTTTATGTCTCTGTGGTGAATTCTTGTCAGGTAGATACAAATGAACTATTCTTCTTCATACAAAAGATACTCTAGCGATTCCATCTTAATTTTCTTGAAGACCACCCTGTACCCCCAGAGTTGTCATCCTGTATTTTTTAAGGGGCTTGGGAGGGACTGCAGAGGAATGGGAATGCTCAGGCAGCCATGTGGGGGTGGAAAGAAATCTTCATTGTTATTCTTTCAGATTGAGGATGGAGATCGTGAATGAACCAGGGGATAGACTTGTTCATTTTAATGGATAGATTTAGCCATGGCCCTACCTTTTCTGGCAGTAAAGCATTTTACCCACTCCTCCCTGCCCAAATAAACACTGTGATGCCCGCTCTTTGATTCTGGGTCTCCTGTTCAGCCAGAACCTGGACATTAGCTGAGGGCTTGCTGGCTGCCCCCCTGCCAGGGCTTTGTGCGGTGTTGCTTGATCCAGCAGACAAGAAGCATTTGCTCTGCTTTCGGCAGCCTTTTGTTCTCTGATCAAGCCCTTGGCCCGGGAGCCTGCACAAACTCTCATTTCTCTCTGAAGTTTATTCTGAGGCCACAGATGGGACCAACTGTGAAGATGACCCCGGTGACGATGATGACTTGTGTGAGGGACATCCGCCAGCAGCCTCGTCCTGCATCGTGCGGCCTCTTTCTGGCGCTTAGCTTGTGAATATCCCTGACCCTCCTTTTTCTCTCCTCTGTTCTCCCTCCCAAACCTCATCCTTTGGATAGTTCCCAGCCCCTTCTGTTCAGGAATCCTTTGTCTCTCTGAGGCAGGGGGTCCAGTCCAGCCTTGGAAGATGCTGCTTTCTTGAAGGATGTGCTCAGGCTGTTTTTAAGCTGGGTCCAAGAGCTTGGCCAGGTGGTCATGTAAACACCTTGCCGGTGCAGTGGCCAAGGGAGAGTGCTTAGATGTCGGGACTTCTCTGTCTTCTTCCTTCCTTCTTTCCCCTTCATGCGTGAGGTGCCTGCATCTGCACACACCCCGTTGGCGGATGCGATCCTTGGAGGGTCAAGGAGCAGACTGAACTCCAACCCTACAAAGGCCCTTTACTGGTCTGGCTCCTTCCCACCCACTTGCCGGATCTCTTGTTCTCTCTGTCTTCTTGTGTGATGATGCAACTCATCTGTGGGCGCACGAAGAGGTTGCTGGGAACGCATCCATCTGCTTGGAGCTGCCTGGCCCGGATGTTATCGCGGTGACTTAACATGTGCATCTGCAAATGTCCTCACGGATTCGATTTTAGCTTGCATGTACTGAGCTCTCACATTGGGTCCCATCCGTGGCTGAGCACGCCACATGCGTCATCTCATTCACGGTGTACTGCCAGCTGAGGGAGCAAAGACACGGAGAGGCTTAGTAGTCTGTTGAGGTCACACAGCGAGTGGGCACAGCGGCAGAATTCAAAGCCAGACAGTGTTGGCTCCATGGCCTCTGTTTATAATGACTGTCGTCTACTGCTTCCAGGCCATGTTTGGACACAGTGCAGCCCTGTGAATCACTCACTTAGGGGAGTAGGTGGCTGGAGTTGGCATTTTCCACTGGAAGGCTGTGCCGTGCAGTCCCTGAGTCCCTACCCCCAGACATTGTAGACAGACGTCCAGCTGTCTCTGCTAGACACAGTGTATGTACTTAGTCATCCTGGGGAGGGGGCAGCGAGATGTAGGTGGCTCCGCTGCCTTCTGCATGATGGGCAGGCTTCGTGCCGCCTCCTCTCTGTCCTGTGGGCCTTCTGTAGAGCCTGCGATCGGCTCCTGCGTGGCTTTCTTTGCAGCCCCTGGCCATGAACTACAGTTTAAGGCGGGGGTTGATAAGAACATGATAAGAAGACAGTAGAGGAAGCGTTGTGAACAGAAGGTGATGTGTAGAGAAGGAGAAGTTCTCTCTTTGCCTGTCTCCAGGCCCATACACACACAGAGGCATCTGCTTCTTGCTCTTCATCGTGCACCCTCTGACTTTAGACCGAGCCTGGTGGTCTCAGCGTTGTTGCTTCTCTTTCTAAAAATCATTGTTTTATTTATGTTTTCATGCTAAATATATATATACGTATATATATATGTATGTATGTATGTATACACACACACACACACATATATAATTTTATTGGGGGCTCATACAACTCATCACAATCCATCCATCCATCCATCCATCCATCCATCCATCTATCCATCCATCCACCCATCCACTGTGTCAAGCACATTTGAACATTTGTTGCCATCATCATTCTCAGAACATTTTCTTTTTACTTGAGCCCTTGGTGTCAGCGTCTCCTGTTTTGAGACAAAGCTACTGCCTCTGGGGAGCGTGGGTGCCTGCTGGTGTCCTATGCAAGGCTCCGTGCTGGCCCCGTGGTCACAGGCCTCGCTGGGAGTGCAGCAAGCTGGGGGCTCCTCATGACAGATTTGCCGGCTCTGTGCCTTAAGTTCAGGAGGGTCTTTAAGCCAACCAATTATAAGGAGACCTTCCTGATCAGAACTAGGAATCAGACCAACCGAACCGTCAGAGAGGCGCAGCTTCAGGCCTGTTTCTTCTCTCTGTGATCCGGTTGGAATATCCTGCTTGCCTCTCAGAGTGGCTCGGGGAGCAACAGGGACAGGGAGGAGCGCACCCTGCAACAGTCGACACCACCCAGGGCGGTGCCTTGGCACCTCTCTGCCAGCCTCAGTGTCTGCAGTGACAGCCTCTGAGCTGGGCTCGGCTGCAGGGGCACGGCTTCTAAGTCACCCGCTGCCGCTGATCATTCCCGAAGCTTCTGCTTCTGGTTCCCCTTTATCCACGTACACAGGCAGGTCCTGGACTTCTCCCTCCCCCCACTCTCCCAGCCTCTGGCCAGCTCGGCTCTGCCTTCCCTCTTCTGTGGGGATCTCAGCAGTATAGCCTGAGCATCTTTTCATGTCAGCAGATAGGCAGATACATTTCTAGACCTTTATGTTTAAACTTTAGAAAATGTTTTTAACCAAAATCTCGACAGTACACATGAGGTATGAAATGCAAAGTCAGTCTCCTCTCTGTCTCTCTGAATGGAGCAGGGAATATATTGTTCTTTTAAATGTATAAAATAGGCGCTGTGGGGTAGGTGCCTATCAGAATTGACTCGATGGCAGTAGGTTTTTTGGTTTCCTTTTGTTTTGTTTTTGGTACTCATTGTCTGTCTGTCTATTTACCTATGTATTCCACTAAGAACTAAATCCTGGACTATTTAGTAAATGCCATATCCTTGTGAATAGCTATTATCTGCCTGTTGATGTTGACTGCTGCATATAAATGAGCCATACTTTGTTTAACCGATTCTCTGTGATGGACATTAACTCTTCCCGTTTTTTTTTAACCCTCTTTCATACAAAATGCTCCAGTGAGAATTCTTACCTGTCATATTTCAGAGTACACTTGCCAATACATTACAGGGAACAAGCTTAGTATCACAATCGTTTCATCCAGGAGAACCTACCTTTCTTTTCTATTGATGGCGAGTGCTAAATTATTCTCCTCTCAAAATGCAGCTCTAAGGCCAGCCCTGCCTTCTGGTGAGTCTTTGAGAGTACGTGGTGCGTGGGAGACAGACAGATGGACAGGGTCTGCCTTTGTGGGGGTTGCCACATCCCGTCTCCCCAGCGGCCTGTTGGGCTTCCTGTTAGGAAAGGCCCTGTCTCTTCCTGCACTGGCAGTCCCTCCTCCTGCTGGAGCCAGCTTCCTCCGGGGCTGTACCCCAGATCTTTGGCTGTGACAGGTGTTAATCTGGAGGTAGGGGAGGGTGGGTTCTACATTTAGCAGCTGACTGGTCAGATGCCTGGCCCCAGCCTATGGTGTCACGGCCCTTCTAGGTAGCTAGGAACCGGGAGAGGGGCCCTGGGGTTTGGCACAGCCTGTTCCTAATTCCTCATTATGGTTGTTTTCAGGCACTGCTTAATCTTTAACCTCAGCGGCCGGGGCCCAGGTTTATGGGGATTTCGTTGTTTGGTAATTGGGCAGCCATGCGCTGGGCCCGCAGCAGCAGAGCTGGTGGGGAGGGATGTTAATGGGACCCCATTAATGAAATGGCAATTAAAATTCTTTGGACATGTTGTTTACATCAGTCTGCCAGAGCTGAGCTGAAATCCTCCAGCTGCGGGACGGGACAGCCACCGGATTTCATGTGCTTGAGGAGAGAAATGGCCCCCTTTTTTATTGATTGAGTCCTTTGGGAGCATGGAATAGTGTAATTAAATTAAGGGCAGCTAG